GGATAGAAGCCTTTCCTGTGCACACCGAAAAGGCACACGAAGTGGTGTGACTGCTTCTAAAGGAAATCATTCCCCGACAATGGGCCAGCATTTAGAGCTGAGGTAATACAGTCAATGGCATTGGACTGAGGAATTACATGAAAGTTACACACTGTCTGTTGCCCCCAAAGTTCCAGAAAAGTGGAACAAATGAACTGGACTCAAAGTTGCAGCTAAGTAAATTAGGCCAGGAAACCCACTTATGTTGGGCTTAGCTGTTGCCAGTTGCTTTGCTAAGAATTAGGCTAGCCCCACTAAGCAGACAGGGGTCTCCCCTTTTGAAATTCTTTATGGATGCCTTCCCCCCCTTGTTAAGGGCATAAAGGGGGATTTAGAAGAGGTGGGTAATCTTGCTCTAAGACAGCAAATGCAAGCTCTTGGCTTGGCTCTCACTGCTATGCATCATTGGGTTAGAGAGCGGTTGCCTATAAGCTTAACCACAGATGCTCACCCCTTTAAAATTGGAGATGCTGTTTGGGTAAAGGAATGGAGCATCCAGCCCTTAAAGCCTCTTTGGAGAGGTCCATTCACTGTCATTTTGTCCACCCCCACTGTAATAAAGGTAGCAGAGGTGGGCCCCTGGATTCATCACAGCAGAGTGAAACTGGCCTTCCAAGACTGGGAATGCACTTCTGAGCCATCCATGCCGGGGAAGCTGACTATCCAAAGAAAGCAAGCTGCAAGCCCAGGACCCTAGAGGACAACAGCCCTGCTTTAGTCACTCCAGAAGCTGACTAATCTGTGCATGGCAGAAGCCCGAGGAGTCGGCCACCTAACGAACAAATGGACTGTGGTACATTGTAATGTGGTGTCATCCTTTGCTAGTGCCTATTGCTGTCATTCTTGCCTTGGTTTTTGCTATAGGTCTGGTGATGTTTGCTCCAGACAGCTGAACCCGTGGCGAAAGGTTACTAATAGCACATGTACCTGTTCAAACCTGGAAAGGCTGGAACCCTGGAAACTTGTTTGGGGGATGGTTCTCAGCCTTCAGGGATTCAAAACTGTCAAAGGGACCATATTAGCTATTGTAGGAATATGTTCTAATTCTACCCTGCCTAACCCTTTAATCATAAGATCTATCTCCAACCTCATGGAGGCCATGGTTGAATAAAATGGCAGCACATGTAATGATTCTATGGCCCTAAACCAAGATGATGCTCTTTGTCCCTAAAAGGGTCCGAACATCAAATGAGGGAAGTGAGGCAGGGACCCTTTTGAAAATGCAGAAAAAGCAGAAAAGGGGGAAATAAGTTACTTCCTGCTTCTTTATGCTTTCTCTTTCGTGGGCTTTTTACTTTGGCAGGCTACATGTTTCAACTTTTGGTGGAAACCAGTCAGAATAGTGATCTTGTAAACCAATCAGCAAATAGGACATGTAAATGAGATGATCATCTAAAACCAATCAATGTGCAACATGTAAGACTAACGGTAGCCCCAAGCTATGGAGTATCCAGTCAAATGAATAATGCCAAACTGTAACCTTGCAAGGGAAACAAAGGGGTTACAGTGTAAAGAAAAAGTATATAAGTCAATGCATTGCTGTTTAGGGCTCAGCCTTTGGATGCAAATCCGCTGAGCTGGTGCTGGCATAAATAAACGCTGCTTCCTGGCAAAGGAGCCTTGGTGTCCCGTCTCTCTCTGGAAGGCTCCCACTGCAAAATGAACATGAAAATCAATCTTGGTTGTATTTTAAAAGAGAGTCACTAATTGAGAAAGCATCTTAAATTAGGTACTATTTTAAAAAGTAAGAAAAGGGCTGTTTCCAGAGAAGCAAGCATGATTTGCCTTTTTTAGTATGAACACCAACAGAGACCCTAATACTATGAAGTATTTATGATGTTTATAGCATTAGGCACTGTAGGGTTTTCAGAAGTCATAGAAAGCATTTTAATTATCCCCTCAGAAGCAAGCTGTGTTCTCATAGACCAAACATAAATATAAAGAAGCCTGTGCAGAAACCTGGTGAGAGTGACGTCAGGAGGTAGTTCTGTGAATATTCTTTTTTCTTTTTTGAGTTTAGAGTCTTACTCTGTTGCCTAGGCTGGAGTGCAGTGGCAAGCTCATGGCCACCGCAGCCTCGACCTGCTGGGCTCAGGGGATCCTGCTGCTTCAGCCTTCCAAGTAGCTGGAACTACAGGTGTGCACCACCACACCCAGCTGATTTTTTGATTCATTGTAGGGATAAGGTCTCACCAAGCTGCCCAGGCTGGTCTGGATCCTGTGGGCTCAGGCAATCCTCTCACCTGGGCCTCCCAAAGTGCTGGGATAATAATATTCACTGTGCCTGGCCTGTGGATATTCTTAGGTAAGAGACTCCTTGTGTTTGCCTGTTCACAAAATAAGCTAGGTATTTGTTACAAAGATAGATCTACTCATTTACAGATTTGAGACTTGGGTAATAAACTAGAAATATGATGATGTCTTTACTTTTTTTCTTTCTCTTCTTTACCTTTTTGAAGCCTCTAAAGTTCTAGAAGCTAAGTAAGCAAAGTATAATTAATGACGAAAAGGTATACCATTTCCCGTTACTGTTAGCCCAGTTTTCCCAATCTTTCTTGGCTTCTGGAGTCTGTTCACAGACAGGAAATTTGAAAAAAATTACTTAAAAAATATATATGTTTTATAGAGTCGGAATCTTATTATATTGCCCAGACTGGTTGCGAACTCCTGGCCTCAAGTGATCCTCTTGCCTTGCCTTCCCAAAATGCTGGGTTAATAGGCATGAGCTACCATACCTAGCCAACAAAACCATTTTTATCAATTACTGATTACATATATTATAAAATGCATATCACTGTAATGTATGCTTAAAATATAGTAATTGATATTACATAATTTAATTCAGCACATCATTAAAGATTATATTATGAATACACTGTAATCTTTGATAGTATTTCTGATTAAATGACAAATTTCAGCTTTTAGAAATTTAACAAGTAACCTACACTTATTTTCAAATAATTATGTCAGAAAAGTATGAGTTGTTTAAAATGTTGAAATGCATGTGGTTTTTCTTTTGGTTTGGTATTAAATGTTTACAAAATGTTCATTAAATTTTGTAGTATGGCATATATAGTTGGAAATCTTTTAAGCTTTTAGCTCGTGCAAATTCGCCTCAGTACTCTCCACCAAATAGGAAAATTGTATTTTTAGCAATAATTTCCGATAGTATATCTGGTTATCTCTAGAACATCAAAAGCCAATCTTTTAAAAAGTAAAATACTGTGATTTTCATATCCCATTTGTCTTTTCATTGCAAACAGCAATCTGATATGTCTGTTAGCTTGTCATAAGGGGGGAAACTAATGTGATTTATTATTTTTATAATCTTATGATTTATGTTAAAATTACTTTTGCTTCTTTAAGGTCTATTTTGGATAATAATTACATGGTAGAGTTTTTTTAGGTTTTTGGGGTTTTTTTTGGAGTCAGAGTCTCACTCTGTCACCCAGGCTGGAGTGCAGTGGCACACTTATGGCCACTGTAGCCTTGACCTGCTGAGCTCAGACAATCTTTCTGCCTCAGCCTTCCAAGTAGCTACAACCACAGGCACTCACCACCATGCCCAGCTAAATTTTTTATGTACCGCAGAGACAAGATCTGGTCAAGTTGCCCGGGTTGATCTCAAACCCCTGGTCTCAGGCAGTGCTCTTGCCTCTGCCTCCCAAAGTGCGGCATTACAGGCATGAGCCACTGCACCCAGCAGGCTAATTTTGTTTTCTTTTTACCTCTTCTTTTTCCCTCCCTCCCTCCCTCCTTCCTCTTCCTTCCTTGCTCAATAGAGAATTTTTAAAGAAGATAATTTAAATCGTGTAATAGTCATCATTACCAGAATGGCTGGTGGTAGTCAGCTGATTGAAATTGTTTCATAAACATACTTAAGATTTTTACTAACTACTGAGTGTGGTTATGCCACATACCCTTGTGTTTTAAAGGGAAGATTATTTATTTTTTTCACTGTCTTCTAGAAAACATAAATTGAAAATGACATAACTACCTTTAATGACTGAACCTTTGAGTAGATTTGCAAACTAAAAATTAGAAATTTTGCATTGGACAAATGAGTGTTATTCTTTGACCGTCTTCTCTTCTGTCTTTTGGCTTGATTTTGTGACCTAATTATCTTTTGAAAATTTTAGAGACGTCTTCAACGCTTTCTGAGATAAGAGTGGTTAGAGAAGGGATAACCTTAATGGCATAAAAAGTTAGTCATAAGCCGGGCTCAGTGGCTCAGCCTGTAATCCCGCGCCTTTGGGAGGCTGAGGTGAGTGGATTGCCTGAGGCCGTGGGTTTGAGACCCGCCTGGGCAGCGAGACCTCATCTCTACAATAAAATTAAAAAATCAGCCGGGCATGGTAGCGCATGCCTGTAATTCCGGCTACTTGGAAAGGCTGAGGTGGAAAGGATCGCCGGAGCCC